ATTCAAACTCCAGAGACTGGTGTCATTTCGTGTTTTTTTGACTGCACAAGCTCGGCACTGATCAAGCTGGGTTCTCTCCACATGCTTCTATGCGGAATCTTGCAGTTTCGACCGTTAATCCTGACCTGACTGGGTCTACTTTGCTGTATAATGTCGTCGTAACATAATACTCCATAATTTACAGGTTCGATATTAATCTAGAGTTGATCATATTATGTCTCATTCACATTGTAATCTGAGTAGAGAAGAGATATTCATGCCTTCGAAGAAGCCCAATTAAGTTCAGACAGAATGGGTGTTGCCGATCCGTATCCCTTTAGAATAAACGCCGGAAGAAAAAGCAGATGTCGCTTCAGGGGCTTTTTTTTCTTTTCTCATATGCATCGTGACAGAGCGAAGTGATATCTCTCGCGCTTCATGCTTAACCGTTTCGCTTGGCAGCGGCCTCAGCAGTGAGCTTCAAACCTGCAGGAGCGTCGTCGCGGGGCATGTACAGCTCGACCAACTAAGTTTTGTATTAGTAGGTAATTATAAAATGACCGAGGCAGATGACTTACCCGAAGCTTATCGGAAGAATTGAACTCTTGGTCGGCAAACAGCTTGTTGAGCTCGTCACGGGTCTTGATCCGGTATCCCTGGTAGTTCTCCTTGGCGCCGAAAGCCTTGGGAATGTTGGCGTAGTCCCAGGGCTGGATGTCATTGTACTTCGCATCCCATCCGTGGATGTATCGCTCGATGGTGTATCCTTCGTTGCAGATCACGAACCTACAAAATGTAAGCATATGAAGGGAGAGGACAGTGGGCCAAGTAAACTTACACAATAGGATTCAACTTGTTCCGCAGAATTGTGCTTAGCTCCTGCACGGTCAATTGGATACTTCCATCACCGATGAAAAGGATGGTCCGGCGGTTCTTCTGTTCCTTCGCAGCGAGCGCGGCACCTTGGCAGGCTCCCATAGAATAACCAATGCTGCCCCAGAGGACCTGGCTAATGGCAGTTACGTTGGCAGGGAAGCGAGTGTCCCAGATACCAAAGTTGGCAGTTCCAGTCTCTGTAATGATGACGTCCTTTTCTCTCAGCCACTGTCCAACGATTGGCCATAGCCAGTTGTGCGTAATGGTTTGGTCGGTCGAGGCTCGCTCGCCGTCGGACAGTCGATTCGTGAGTGGGGGGATAGGGCCAGGAGTCAGAGACTTCATCCGTTGAACAACTTTCCGCAGGACGCCCTTCATGTTGGTATCGGGGTACTCGGAGTACCGGACCCGCACATAGGTGCTGTGGAAGTCAATGGTGTTCAGCTGTCCAATGCGATAGGTGAAACCGGTAGTGTTGAAGTCAGACTTGATGGCGCCAATGCTCAGGATGAGATCGGATGCCTCAACAGCCTCGCTGACTCCAGGGTTGGAGCCGTTTCCGGCATAAACACCTCCGAAGTTCTTGTGTGTCTCGTTAATGGCTCCCTTGCCCATAGGGGTTACGAAAGTCGGCAGTCCAGACTTCTCAACGAGGTCTTGCACTTCTTCAAGTACTCGGTGACGAATGGCACAGGCATCGACCAAGATGATAGGGTTCTTGGCAGCATGGAGATACTTCAAAACAACATCAACAACATAATCTTCCTTCTCTGGGTCATTCTTAGGCAGCGACAGGTCAATGGGTGTCTTCAACCGATCACCGTTGACCTTGGCGGCTACTATATCGGTGGGCAAAGTAATGTAGACTGGACGACTACGGATCCAGCATTCACGAATGGCACTGTCGATAAGAGTTGCCGCATCATGGGGGTCATTTAGTCGAGCGACATAGCAAGAGATCGCACTGCTCATCTTGTTGAAGACGTCGAAGTCACCATTTCCGAGAGTGTGGTGTAGCAGCATTCCATCTCTCTGGGATTGGGTGGTGGGCTGGCCAACGATATGAACGACCGGGACGAATTCGGAGTATGAGCCAGCAATGGCGTTGAGGGCTGACAGCTCTCCGACACCAAAGGTTGTGACAATGGCACTAATACCGTTCACACGAGCGTATCCATCGGCGGCATAGCCTATGATAACTGTTAGACAAGTACTTTTGCTTCTCACCTCTATCTACGCATCTTACCGGCGTTAAGCTCGTTGCAGTTCCCAACCCAGTTGAGATCACATCCAGGCAGGTAATCCAAGGCTGCGAGGTTGTAGTCGCCAGGCACGCCGTGCACCGAGCGGATTCCGACCTCGCGGAGACGTCGGAAGAGGTACTCGGTGACATCAATGGGATTCTTAAGCTCCTGAGTAGCAATATCGGTGGACGCCATGGCCAAGGAAAGGTTGAGGAGTAGAAAGATAGCGAAAGCGAAATGGAAGACGGCAAAAAAAAGCAAGTAAGCTTTTATAAAGAACAAAAGAACTGGATGATCAACCGGATGATAGTGAGACCTGAGACTACGTCATGATTGAATAAGTTGATGTCATGCCATCAATTCTCCCACAACAAACAACAGGCAATGAGGAATATCCACATGTTCTCGAGCTACTATTCAATAGTGAACGAATAAGAAGTGTCAATTGCAGTTGTCGATAGAAAAAGAAGATGAAGCTCACTTCCAAAGTTGTCGATCCCGCCTAACCCAATCATAACTCCGGGCTGATCACAGAAAACTCCGACCCCCACCACTTGAGCGTCATATCAACAACATGGGGAAAATGCCAAAGAACACGACTCGTTCGAAGAAGGTGAGGCTTTGTTATCACTGGCGCGACCGTACTACGGCGCTATACAAAATTTGAGCGCTGACTGGGATTAGGGTGGGAAATGGCAGCAGCAAAAAAGTCGAGTCGCCATTGAATCAGGCGAGTCGGGCGTCTTTTTGACATGCGACATGGGCAGAGAAGGAAAATGCCTAAGAGAAGCAATGGACGTTTTTTCACAAGTAAGAGGAACAACTATGGTCGAGATCAGTCTCGCTGACGCTCAATCTAGGCTATTGAAGGTGAAGAGAAGCCGACAGAAGAAGGGTCGGACTCAGACGACGAAGACATTGAGGCCCAGATCCGCAGGGAGCTGGAAGGCTTACAGCCAAGCAAAGACAAACCTCGTCAATTTCAGGGTGTTCAGATGGAGCTACCATGTGGTACGTCTGGCAACGCTCCAAAAACGCCATTCGCTTATGCGCTCGGTTCTGAACATGTGAATGCTAACCCCATGAAGTGGTCTGGATGCGTCTTGATCCCTCGATAGACCCAGTGCAGCTCGTTCACCGTCTGTGTCTCGAAGCAGAGGCCAATCCGGAGACGAAGAAGAGCCGATATATTAAGCGCATGCATCCAATCACGTCCGTGCGGAAGACTTTGAGCGTTGACCTAGAAGCTTTCGCGAAGGAGATACTCAAGCCTCATTTTCACTCCGGTGGGCCTCCAAAGACGGTGAGTTCAAGCCCGTTCGGTCGGAGATCTACTGATCTGGGAAAACATCCGATGACGCATCTCGCCGTGAGGGGAAATGGCGTTTGGGCAGTGCTGACTTGTCATCTATTTAGTACGCTATTCGGCCAACTGTGCGTGGCAACCACAAGCTCAATCGCGATATTATCATCAAAACCGTGGCGGATGTTGTTGGCCCTGAGCATCCAGTGAACTTGAAGAATTATGATCTTATCATTCTCGTTGATGTGGTCCAGGTCAGTGCTGAGAAATCCTTCCCATTGAGTACTGCTAGGACCTATCAGGGGTTTGACTAACTCGTAACAGAACGTAGTTGGCATGAGCGTGGTAGGGGGAGATTACGATAGGCTGAAACGCTTCAACCTGGCCGAGATCTACGACCCAACCCCGAAAGCAGGAGAAGCCAAGGCTACTGAAACCCCTAAGACCACTGAGGCTAAGGCTTAGGCTGACCAAACGACCATATACCCTTTTGAGGTGTCCCAGGCTTTATGGCCATTGGTTGTAGCTATCTCAATCAAGAATCATGATGCAAAGGACTTCGTCAGTGACGCCAGGATCCAAGTGTGTGCAATTAAGATGCCTAGAGTTCAACTAGAACTGCCACCAAGTTCATGCAGCCACAAGCCGTCCCGCGCGGGGCATTGCCATGTCTACCAGGGACGCAATGAAATCAAAGGAAAGTATTATAGCCGAAGAGTTTTGAATCTGAAACGACTTGGGAGCTGGGAGCTACCTGCGGATCCAAGGGGCCCGAGCACGTTAGGAGTACGAGGCCGAATGACTTGCATTTAGGGAATCCTCGCGCATATACTCCGTACCGTGTAGAACATAGGAGCCTAGAGTATATGAAGACACCTCAAGCGATGTATTGTAACGGATAGGGCATAGGCAGAGTATACAACACTAAATACATCCAAAGACAAGTAAGGAACTTATCGAAAAAAAGAAAAAAGAAAGAATTAACGAAGAACAAATGGAAGTTTCTCAAAGTTCTCTGATCCCGGCGATCCACCACGGGGACATTCGGCAAGGCGCAGTTGTGATTGGGCGGGTGGCGGTGCTCGGATAGCCGCTTTTCTAAGACGGGGATGGTTAGGCGAGTCGGGCTTCGCTTCATTTCCATATCGCTTGCATAGTGCCTCTGAGCGAAACAGATTCTCTAGATTAGGCTCCGCTGCTGGCGTTTGAACCTCGGATGTGCTTGACTCTTGACAAGCGAAAGCCCGTATCTCGCATGGGTAAACCTAGTAAACTTATGGCGCTGGTAATAGGTCCGTGGCTACTTTGCTTCAGCAGAATGTTACGTGCGCGATGCAACCATGGCGGTCCGATGATCCCAGACAGGATATCCAGACGATCTTTCCTATGGATCTTCTGGTCTTTGTATTGTTCTGGAAGCCTGAACCGAGATTTATGACGCTTAACCCAGTGCCTGGCATATCAACACATCTCCTCGGGGGCAGACCGCTCCCTTTCATTTTATGAGACTTCACAGATTCGCTTATACATAATTTTGTTCTCCCCTGTCTGTCGATCTCGGTCAATTTCCCCTATGACCCTAATAAGAACAGTTCAAGATGCAACAGCTTGACTTGAAAACATGGTCTGCGATGCCATCCCTCGGGGGAACGGACAGCCGTATGGGCACTTTTCGGCAATCCCGTGTCACCGAAGAAGATGAACACCATAGACTGGATGCTGTACTCTCGCTGCTCTTCCCTTCTGCGGTTAGCGTGCAACATTCGCATCCTATTCTAGGTCATGTTCACACGTTACGGCTCCTGGCACTGTCAAACGGGGCTCGTTTGTTGCTAAAAGGCTCCCCATCATCAAGAACGGCTCTTCTCCGACGTGAAAGATCATTTCTCGAAACCGAGGCCCAATTCCTTGCCCTGCTTGGTCAGAGTGGAAACCCTTGTATCCCCCAGCTCTACCATTATGACCCCCACGGCAGAGTGTGGGGATCTCCATATATGATTCGACAGTATATGAAAGGCAGGACTTTGCTCGAGATGGAGAGCGAGCTCACTCCCGAGAAACGGGATGATGTTGACCGCCACTTGGGTTTCTTGTCGAGCACGATCGGTCAAAATGCTGCACCCGGGTTTGGGTCTCTGCAGCAAGTGGCATACGGGGCTGGAAGGCCCTCCTGGAGAGAGGCCTTTTGTACCCTCTTCGAAGGCATCCTTCGCGATGCCGAGGACACGTTTATTCATCTTCCCTATGTAGAGATTCGGAACGAACTAAGTCGCCTGGCACCTGCTCTCGAATTTGTCACCTTACCACGTTTGGTGGTCGTCGACTTCGGTCAGCCCTCCCATGTATTGTTGAACGAGGAGTCTGAGCAGGTATCTGGAATTGTGGGCTTTAGCAGTGCCCTCTGGGGTGACGTGTTGATGGCAGAGATCTTTGCAAACCCATCACCGGCGGTTTTGCAAGGGGCAGGAATGTCACCGTTTCGAACAAGGGAGGAAAAAGTCCGGCTGGTCCTGTATGTTTCTGGAAATCCATCTCACTCAAGACAATCGTGCTAACTTTCGTGTTATCATTAGGTATGCATGTTATCGGCTGGTCTCCCAGATCACTCTCCAATTTCATCGAAGCCGAGATGAGACGAGCGAATTCGACGCGCGGAGACGATTGACAACCACCATTGCGGAGATGGCGAGACTTGAATAGGTGTAATGTGGCAACTGCTTTGACTGGTTCTTCGCATGTTCGTCGCGATACCCTTGGAAATTGAGATATAGATTGTTGTTCTCAAGCGATTTGTTTCAGCTGGGCCCATATATAGTTTTGCATGGAATCCGGAGTTTTGTCGTCCCCAAATGTATAGAAATATGATCAAATAAAGCATCCCGAGTCAGTCCAATTGCCATATAAGTTACATGTATAACAATGAGAACAGAACAAAGGGAAGTAGCCGGAGTGTCGGAGCTCATAGGGCGGAGCGGGGCAGATCCGTGTTTAGCTTCTGCATGGCGTCAGCTGTCCGTCCCTCTCCACACTTTTTGACTTCTTCCTTCTGATAACCTGCCACTCCAGCTCGCAGGATACTCCCACACATGGCTCAGTTCTTGCGAGGCAAGCAAGCCGGTATCCAGAAGGACCTGTCTGAGGGGTTGTCCCCAGATTTGTTCCTCCTGGACGACGTACGTCTTGGCATCCCAGGCATCCTCTTTTTTTACTGACACCGCAATTTGCAGTTCGCTCGGTGTGGTGTGAACTCACAGATCAGTGCTATCGCATACGATCCTGTTCAATCGCTCCTCGCCATTGGTACCAGTGATACCCAGTTCGGAAGCGGGCAGATCTATGTCTTTGGGCAACGGCGGGTGTCGGTGGTCTTTGAATTCCCGCGCAAGGCGTCCGCGCGGTTTCTCCAATTCTGCGCTAGCAAGCTCGTGAGCCTTGACTCCAAGAATGAAATCAGCGTTTATTCTTTGGAGACTGGGCGCATGGTCGTGTCCTATGCGCCCCCAGGCCAAGCGACGGCCTTGTTAACGGACCCAAGCTTGGACTATGCGTTTATCGGCTTGTCGAATGGTTTGTTTACTGCCAGTGATCAATAGAGCCGCAATGACTGACCTCGGAACAGGTGACATTATTGCATACGATCTGGACCGAGAATCAATGACACCTTTCAAAATCCCGAACTTGTGGTTGGAACGCAACCCTCGCGCGCGGTTCTCCCCGGTTGTATCGTTGGCATTTTCCACACGAGACATCGGCAAGATCCTAGTGGGATACCCGGAGGGAGCGGTAACATTCACATTCAAGCAGAATATTGCGCAAAAGTTCTTTGTCTACGAGATCCCTCCTAGGGCCCCGGGTGGAGATTCAATGCCGTCTAGCGACGTGCGCAGACCGAAGTTGACCAACGCGATTTGGCACCCGAATGGTATCTTCATTCTCACAGTCCATGAGGATTCAAGTTTGGTACTGTGGGATACGAAGGACGGCCGCAAACTTCACGCTCGAACGGTCCAAACACCCAATGTTGACAACCCTGATGCTGCCAGACCTGGTTCGCCGGGAGAGGTTCCTGGGCCCAGGGAGCCGATAACAAAGGTAGCTTGGTGTGCCAAAGAAAACCCGGATGATACTGGCCTGTTGGTGGCTGGTGGTCGGCCAGTTGGTGAGCAGAGCAAAGGTCTCGTTTTCTTGGACATGGGCCCAACTCCCAACTATCAGACCTCTTCATGGCAGATTCTATCTAGCTACTTTGAGCGCCCACGGCGAGAGATGAAGCTTGCTGTTCCACCAGGGGCTAAAGTTGTCGAATTTTGTCTTATTCCTCGAGCATCGCCTTACTTTAATGGTGCTCAAGATCCGATCGCGCTTCTTGCTGTGCTGTCCTCGGGCGAACTTGTTACCCTGAGTTTCCCCAGTGGACACGCAATTACCCCAACCAACATGCTTCACCCCTTCCTTACTCTCGTTCATCCGTTTGTGAATAAAGCAGTGCTTACTCCCGTCGACCGATCTGTGTGGCTCGGTCTGAAAGAACGTCGCTTGCAGGGCCCTAAATTCGCAATGGGCGGTGCGGAAGCAAAGAACCCTCTCAAGCGCTTTGAAAACCGCAATGTCGTTTCGACGGCTCATGCAGACGGTACCGTTCGTGTTTGGGATTGTGGACATGACGACGAAATTGAAAACGGCGATGTAATTCAAGTTGATCTTGCCCGGGCTATCGGCCGAGTTAACAACATCGAAGTGACAGAAATGTCTCTTGCGAGCGGAACGGGCGAGATGTCTATTGGTCTCAAGACCGGAGAGCTTGCTATCTTCCGATGGGGCAATAACCCCTCATATGGCCATGAAGAACCCCCTGGTGCCAACCAGGGGCCCGGGAGGTTGACTCCGATCACCCAGCGGACAGACCCAGGCCTTAAGACAGGACTACTTCCTCTTACTATGTTGGATATGCAACAGGGTTCAGTGACCGCACTGAAGCATGGCCAAGTAGGATTCGTGGCCGCCGGTTTCGAAGGTGGTGGCCTAGTGATCATTGACCTGCGAGGCCCAGCAGTTATTCACACGGCGCATCTGTCCGATTTCATCAAAGCACCGAAGCGGAGCAGCTTCGTCCGCAAGAGCCGTGGCTCGGAGGATATCCATCCTGAATGGCCCACTAATATTGAGTTTGGTGTGATGACCCTGGAAGGTGAAGGTAAAGACCAAACTAAATCATTTTGTTCAAGCTAAGTGCTAATCGCAATATAGACTACTCCAGCATATGCTGCTTTGTCGGCACGAGCCGAGGTAATGTGGCAACCTTCAAGATTCTTCCCAGCTCCAATGGCACCTACACAGCTGCTTTCGCTGGAGCATCAGCGGTTGATGACAAAGTGATCAACATCAATCCCATTGATGCAGACTCAGGCGGTCTTGCTTTGGCTACACCAAGTGTGGTTGGCAGTTTGAGAAGCGGCACCAAGGTCAATGGCGTTGTAATTGCTGTGACTACCGGTGGCTGCCGAATCTTCAAGCCCCCGACATCGAAGGGTGCCCATAAAGCATGGGAAGACTATATTTGTGACTCGGCAGCGGTCGTCAAAACTGAGGGACGGGGCTACAGCTTGGTAGGCCTATTTGGTGATGGGAATGCCCGCGCATTTTCAATTCCTGGCCTCCGAGATATTGGATGCACCAAGTTCAGTCATATTGCGGACATGAGACGTCTTTCAGAAGCATGCATTACCCCAACTGGAAATATCATGACATGGGTTGGTCCTTCGGAACTCGGTCTGTTTAATGTCTGGGGAGCTGGAAACAAACTGTACGTATTTCCAATGGGTTTACCAGATGATATGCTAATACCCATCGCAGACACCCCTCAAAAGACCGTCTTTACAACCCTGAGGCTGTTCTCCCTCAGCGTCCTACCATTACCAACATCCAATGGATCTCCGGGACACAATATGTCTCCCCAGCGGACATGGATATATTGAGTAAGTGACCCCCGTCAAAGAACGCTTACAACACCTAACATCAACACCAGTCGGCGGCCCAGACCGACCACCGTCGAAGCGAATGATCGAACAAATGAAGCACGAAGACCAAGAACGCCGACAAGCCCTAAGAGAAGGACGCGCCGCACCGCCACCCGAACAGAGCGGCAGTCAAGAAGGCTATTGGTCTTACATGTCCCGTCAAGTCCAAGAACGCACAGAGCGACTAGGGATTGTCGGAGACAGTATGGACAGGCTCGAGGAGAACAGCAGCAACTTCGCTAGCGACGTTGGCAAATACGTACAGTCACAAAAGAGGAAGGCTGTCTTTGGCGGTAAGTCGATCTCTGATGGGGCGCGCGGGCCCGAGTGCTCACCCCCTTGCATGATCGATGCTGACCGGTCTTCTTGTAGCACTTGGTTCGAAGTTTGGACTTTAGTTTGTCCTCCTTCTGGGTTCAATGGTTTGATTAGTATGCATACAGTATGGATATGTTTTGTTTGTTTCTTGTTTTTCTACCGCCCAAGGGTGGTTGGGTCAATATTCCTGGGATGTGATAGATCACTTTTTCACAATTTTAACCTGGGTTTACATGGTGCATTTCTTGTTGCTGTATACTCAGTCCCGAGCTAGCCCGAGCTGGGTGCTGTGCTCTACAGTAGTACAACACGGACCCTAGATGATATAAAGCCGTAAGTACTCCGTATTCGTCTCTTCAATTTCGGGCCAATGTGATCAAGAACCTGCAAATATGTTATTGAAGGTATGTGAAAGGGGGATTGCCTAACAATGTCTAAAAGGCCACTAAGTGAGACAGCTTCCACTAGTTCTACGTTGCTACGGAAGGGGATAGATAGTAGCTAGTCTAGGGCTCCATTTTGGCGAATAGCTCGGCGTATAGAATGGCAGTCCGAACATTCTCCATGTTGATCTAGAATCCATCGTACACTTTTATGACTTCATTTGGCAGGTCGGAGGGATTCATTGTTGCCACCTGGTAGGCTTGCAGGGTGAATGCATCGTAAGAGGCATGGAATGGGAGGGATGCATTACAATGAATGGTCGACTCGTCGCAATTCCTTCAATTTTACAGGTATCAGAGCAAAGGAATTTGAATGTCTGATCGGCACTCGCTTGAAGTTCAGAAATATGTAAATTCTAGTTCATAGACTATAATCAATTCCCATTTTTCGAGAAGTATGGGGGAGAATCAGTCCTTGGGTCGTAAACGTTGCGTTCTGGCTGTCGTCAAAGAGCATTTAAAAATAAGAAGAAAATAAAAGAAATGCGTGTTCGAATCATCGGCACACCATGATCTAGTGCGCCATAACCTCAGGCTGATGGGCCGGATGAGCAGCCTTCTGCTCGGAGTCATCGCCCATCTCAACATCCTCATCGCCATCACCACCCTCCTCTTCATCGAGGTCATCCTCATCGTCATCACTCTCAGCTTCCAGATCCTCACTCTCAGCATCGGAGGCCTCTTCCTCTTCATCCTCCTTGCCAGCAGGGGCGTCAGCGCCTTCCATCTCGTGGTCCTCGCCCTCAGCGGGCTTGTTCGACTCTTCGAGTTCCTTGAGGAGAGCAGCCTCGAGTTCACGCTCCTCAGCACCGTAGGTACCACTATCGTCGGCCTGGCCATCGGCCTCAGGCTGGTCAGGCGGGTACTCAGCGGGGGCAGAATCCTCGGTATCCCTAGAAACCACGTCAATTAATGCCCTATA